CCACCTTATCATGGACTTTAATACTTTGTTAGTCAATAAATAACATTACTTCAATAATCTCATGTCATTCCGAATCTGTTTAAACTCACAGGAGGGAAACAAAGAAGTGAGATAGGCCACTTTATACTGCAGGAGACAAAAAAACCATAGTAAGTTATTTAACAAAGGATGATCCAAAACTAAAATCATAGACTGCAACCTCACTATCCACAGCATATAGCATCAAATCCACTAAGTGGTTCATAAGTGTAAACAAAAAGCACACACACACACACCCCAAATCCACACACCAGAGGCCAGCTTTAAGTGGGCATTACAACATTTGGTAAACCCCATCTTTATCACAGACTCACTCCAAAGCCAGTGGAGTTAATGCAAGTCTTTCTGGCAATTGCAGACATCTGACCACCTGTCTTAGCTCCACTCACAGCCAGCTATCTCTACACAATCCAATGTGGTCACATCCTTGACACACCAAACCAAGTCGAATATATTTCACTAAGTTCTTGCAGCAATCCCACTAAACAATACTAGCACATAACACATTCCAAAGTCTGGTTTTTACGTTCTCTTTTGCAGGCTATATAGCTGTTTCTTCTAGGCACTTCAACTGCATGCTTCTGTTGTTTCCTCAGGCTTCATTCATTACTCACTTTTTTTAAATAAAAGGCAGAGAAAACTTCTAGAAAATATGTTCCAACATCTAAGGGGACTAGGAAATCTGGAATAACAAGCTGGGGGGGGGGCACATGGAAGGGGGGAATAGGCAGGGAGGAGCTTCTTTTAGGTTATTTTATAGTAACTAGTCTTGCAAGGAGAGCTATGAAGAGACATCCTTTTAACATCAGATTCAACACAAAAAGTAGTATTGCAAGTTTCTGCATAATGGCCTTTGGCAAACGACACCTGGAGGGGATGGGAACTGCATAGTTTTTGCAGCACTTTCAATCTCTCCCAGGAATGTTAGCATGTAAATCTCCTTCATCTTCCCACCTGATTTCCCTCTTAATTTCTGAGGCAATCTAGAGCTCCCTGACAACTATTAAGATGTCAGAAGATTCTCCAGGAGCCATTCCTTAATTAAGTGGAAACATGTGAGGCTGTGACAAACAATAAAGAAATGCAGGGCCAGATCAGAACCAGGTATACAAAAATCAATCTCAAGTTGCATGCTGTAATTCTGACTCAAAGGAATCTAAAAACCTCACTCGTCTGATGCTTTCAGGTCCACAGGTACAGGGAAACTGCACTTCTAAAATTATTTCAGTGCTTATTTTAACACTCTGTCATGCTTGCTTGGAATCCAATCTCAGATGGATGAAACAGTGAGCGCTCTAACAAATGAGATCCAAAGGCCTGCAGGCTAGCTTTAAGAAGCTAGAGGCTTAGCAACAAAATTCTTACATAGCTCTTCTTGTCAATAGAGCCTGCTGCACTTGACTCGGAGTATGCTTAACTGTGGCCATTTTGCACTGAGGAAGTTGCTCATGACACGTAGCCTGAAATATCATCTCTCCATCCAGAACTCTATCCTCTCCATTTTCTCATCGCTTAAGTGAACACTTCAGGATTTTCATTCAATTCCTATCTGGAAATCAAAGAATTTTTCAAGTGTGGATTCCAGCTACCATTGTTCCTTTGTCAGCCATTATGCCTCCTGCAGAACAAGAGACACCAAGATTCTCAAAATGCTGAAACATTAGACCTGCTTGTTTTGATGTCCTCACTCAAAATTTGTATCAGTGATGCACAGGCTCACATGCAGTCTGCCAGACAGTAGTGTACAGAAAAAAAACACGAAAGAAAGTCAGAACTTTGCCTAAGCATGTGCAAAGATTTGTCACAGCCTGCAGTTTTACAGGTACCTATCCAATGACTTTACAGTGTACTTATGTGTGCTGAAGGCAAGTGCTCCACCCCCACAAAATGGAGAGACTAAACAATGAATAAAAGGTTTGGAAATTCCCTACAGATTTAGAGTCTGTGTTTTAAGCAGTCATGTAGAAGCCCAGAACTTCATGATGACTTGCAGCAAATACTGGTCTGAGATGTTCCACAAAGTGGCCACAGACTTTATGCTTAGTTCAAGGGCCAGGGAGGGAGAATAGCCGTCCCTTTGGAACAGGACCAGGCCTTTTCTTCACTGTCATCTGATCCTGAATGCATGTTCTATACCTACTACTCACTTCATATATGCCATTAAAAATTATTCACAGTAAGTAATGTACAAGAAGGTTTGCTATCATTTAGCAAGGCAGGTGGTATCCATGGGAACAGAGGTTAACTCACATATTAGGCCAAGACAGTGGAAATGAAAGGAAATTCAGGCGTAACACTGGAGAATATATTTCAATAGTAAGATCAGATTAATTTAAGTCTGTTGTGGGAAACAGCAGGTCATTTTATAGATAACTAATGCAGAACTGAGATACCTTCATGCATCACAAATGTATTGCAGTAAATTCAGATGATCGTTAGTAACTGAAAAATTGTCTTCACCGAAAACATCTCTTCCTCCTCACCCTATTACCCACTCAAATTGATTTATACAGTCATTTTCTCAGCTTTGGACAAATTAACAGGACTAATGAACAAATTCCAGTGATATTCACAAATAAGTTGGCCCCTTTGAATTATATTTAGGAACGGAGTGCTTTGTACATTTTGTTTTAAACCTAAAGTAAGGTTGTGGTGTCCTGAAACTGTGAATACAGAACTTTAGAAGAAACATACACTCCATATCTTTTATTCCTAACCAAGATTAAAGATTCTTTTACAAATTTGATTTCAATCTTTCACCTCTACAGCTGCTTACAATATTTGAATGTTATCAACAAGCTCTCCCAGTGGGAAGGAGTTCCTGCAGCAACATTGACTTAGATGCTCTCTGACAATTCAGGGTATGTACAAAGTAGCTTTTAATCCAGCATAAATCACAGAAACGATGAATGCCACATAAGAAGAAAACAAAATCCTTCTCAGAAATATCAAAGGTGCTTAGCCATAAACTAGAAAGTTATAATTTTTCAAAGCCAGAACAGAAACCAATTAAAAACAAGGAATGACTGAAAATTTTGCAGTGGTCTCCAGGGTATGAATTTAATAGGTTTTACACATTTACAGGCAAGACATTCCATTGAAGTCTCATTTACTTACCAATGACAAGGCATGAGTCAACAAACAATCCATATATCTGTGGCCCTAGAAGAGTTGTGGTTCTATAAGATGAGAACCTCCACGAGTTGCATGGACAATCAGAAAAAAAATTAACTTCCCAAGATTAACGTAAGGATTAGACAAACTAACAAAAAATACGCAGATTAAAATTCTCCTGGCTTTAGACAGGAAGCCACACCTTAGACAGGTGATCACAATGATAAATTCTTTGAGCCGAGAAGGATCAAAATACAACATATTATAGGAGTTGATCTTCCCAACACAGTCATTAAATATAAGAATTTGCAACCCCTCAGTGTTTCAAGATTCAGTTATACAGGCTTATAGCACACACGCATGTATGACAGAAGTAGATCTGGTAGAATATTTTGCATACTAAAATAAAAAAAGCCCATGGTTAACTGTTCTGCCATGTCACATATATCTATATCTGGTCATGGTCTCTAGTCTATATACAATCAACCCTCAGTGCCCAGCAGCAGACAATCTAAAACAAGTAGTCTACCTACCAAAGAGATCAGAGACAAGTTAGCACTTATTCATCTGTTCTTCACTCACTGGTACTGAGGTCACTAGAATGCAATAACTATGACACCATGCAATCTTGCCCGCATTTAGATAACCAGTACATTTCATCAGCAGTCACTGACCTTCCCTCACAACCCTCTGTCCTTCGTTTGGACTAAACAGTTCCTTCATGGCTAATCTTACCAGGCAAAAAAGAATTCTCCCCAGCTAAAGTTTTTTTTCCACCTCAATATGAAGAGAAAAAGCTCTCTTAATAAACAAAACTTTGACCATTTTCTTTTGAACAATAAAGAAAAAACTTAACTTTGAACTAGATTCTGAAGATAGCATCAATTTCCTATCTCAAACTTACTGCAGTCAGCAGTGAATCTTACTCTGCTTCTGTCCTAATTTTTAACAGTTGAGCCCACATCTACTGTGAAAAAACCACAATTCTAGAAATTATCACCCTTAGGATTTGGGGTATGTTTAAGACCTACATCTAAACTCTGGAGCCAGAGGTATATGAAGCACACACTGCACTAGCAATGTGGCCATCCTTATTATTTGCCATATCTCTGCAATCGTAACCTACATTTTTATGCCAGGAAAGAACTGAAAATTCTTTCTCCCAGCCCAAATCAATGACAAAACAAAAAAAAAAGCCAAACAATGCATACCCTTTCAAAGTGTCATGTGTGTCTTTCCTTCCAAGTTAAGCGTTACCAGCCATGCAGTCACAGAATCAGCCAGGTTACATTACTTCCCTGGTATTTTATTTAAATACCTAAAGTTTATTTTACACTCAACTTCTCTTACCCAAGTCAGTTTTAGTTTTGGCTGAGTACACCTGTGAAAGCTCAAGGCTCCAGTTATCATTTCAGAATGAATGTGCTAGTCTCTTGTGTTGAAGAAAGCAGTTGTCCAGTCAGAAAAATCTAAACCGAAATCACAAATGCAGTTTGCTTCATGCCTACAAGCTCAGAGAATCTAAAAACTTAGGACTAGCAGAATTCCAAGGCTCCTGAACATTTTCATGAACAAGAGACAAAATAAAGCAAACGTTAGACATCATGCTTTTTCTACTCTCTGGCTTCCTTAAAAGAAAGGCAAAAGCAAAAGTAGTAGCAAACTCTGTTGCAACCATAAAGCTATATGTATTCCTGCGGCAGCATATTAGAAAATTCGTTGCTGACTTCTAAGAGTGAGCAGAAGTGTTACAAGTACACCAGAATGATTCCTGAAAGAGAAAGTAGCAAATTAAAATAAAGCCGCCCCCTCCACCACCACCCCCTTTACCTCTGCTCCCCGGACAGTGCAGCCGGGCTGTCCGAGCTGCTCTGCTCGGCGCCCCGGGACCTCCCCGACCAGCGAGGGAGAGCAGGCAAGGGCTGAGCGCGGAGGCTCCGCCCGGCGCTTCGCTTCTGAAGAGCTCCCAGCTCGCCGATCACAAAGCCGCTCTTACAGCCCTTATTCAAACAGTTCAGCTCCAGGGTAACAAGTTCAAAGTGGGAGGAGGCACAAGGCATCAGAGGGTGGTAACAATCCTGAACAGACGTTTCGTCCCTTTTACATCTGCAGAACCTGTTCTTCAGGTTGGAAACTGCAACATCTGCCTGTTGCCGTGATTGAAAGCAGCGCTCCAAACCTCTTCTATGCTAACAGGCCTGCAGAGGTAAAACCATACCTAATAACGCACAGACAAGTAACATGTGGGAGGAAAAGTTAATCATTACTGTGCACCGAGTTTGGTTTACATTTTGGACTTCCTTATGTTAGCATCAATGAAGCAACTCACGCCCTTATCAGGTCTGTTATAAGGAAAAGTAGAGAAGCACGCAATGGAAATAAATTCTGCACAGAAATGTCCTGCAAAAGCTTAAGTAAAACACAGCAGTCACACTTTAAGAGACAGGGCAGTTTTCTGCAGTTGCCGATATCAATCGGAATACAAAGTAGAAGAAACAGATTTTTCTTGCAGATCACTGTGAAACCACTAACATTAGTCCAGCCTTGCTGTACGTGACAAGTAGAACAACTAGCCACATCAATCCCTGGGTGTTTGACCATGTCACTTCCAGCATCAGCTGAACCATCACACTGGTAAAGGATCACAGCAGGCCAATATTTTATATGATAACTCATGACAGAATGTATTCAAGAGACTTTTATCAGGTTAGGAGGCAACATCTGAAATGTGTTAGAGCCTCAGGTTCTTGCTGTGGTTTTTCAGCTTAGTACACTTCGCTGCTTAGTATTAGGTTAGAAAAAGTGCTGGTGTATTATTTGGGTAGATACATTGTATATTTCTCTTCCTTACAAAAACACACTACTTCTAGGGTCTGCATTCAGATCAGCCACTTCTCACATTCTAAATCTTTCAACTCATGATTTTTATTTTGCCAGAGGATGAAATCTGTGGGAGAAGCAGGTTTGGCCCAGATCTACAAGCAATAATCCCTGACCATATGAAATCCCTCTTTTTTTTTTTTTTTTTTTTGGGGGGGGGGGGGGGGGGCGGCGTTCCCACAGGAATGAATGCATATTCTTATTTGGCAGATTATGTTTTCCCCATTGTACAAAATAGTACATAAATGCCTATAAATGTTGCAGTACTCATTAGCCCAAATTCTATGTATAGCAAATTCTGTGAAGCAAACAGGGAAAAATCTCAGTGTAAAACAACACAGAGGGCTACATCCAGAAGATCTAAACTTTCTACACAGTAGAAACAAAAAAAGAAAAGATAAAACAAAGGGAAAAATCAACATTTGCAAATACAGATTGATAAAGTTTCCTTCAAGTGAGAAGTGAGCCCCAGCTACACCAACGCATGGAAACACTGCACAGCACTGGAACAGGAGCCATCTCCTGTCACATTCATATGACTAGCCAAAAAAGATCACTTACAAATCCATTTTCGTAGAACAACTGTGCTCTTTCAAAACCATTCTTCTCCAGAAAGGAAGTATGCAGAATCATATGGAAGTGAGAAAATGGAAAGAAGAAGTAAGGTGTAATTCACTGAATACTCCACACACCACAAAACATTCACTAATTCACATTTCTTCCCTCCAACTTTGAAGAATTGGCCAGTGATCCTCACTTCCACATGATCCCGGATCAGTACCATCTTTAGCGTGCATATATACACAACTTGAATTCACTACCAGTGAGTTTCAGCCTCTCTTCGAATCAGCGGTCACAAACCACTGTGCAAAGTAACACCTTATAGTCCCTTTGGTTAATAAGTCCAGCTCCACAAAATAAAACCTAAACCAACTGCTTTCCTGCAACCACCTTAGAGAAAGGGAAATTACCCAAAATATGCACACAGGCACTGGTTTTTATTCCCTTGCAAAATCTAGTTACAGAAGACATTTCATTGCATGACACAGGTGATGGAACCCTAGGTGATAAGGAACAGTTTATGTGTGAATTCAAAAACATCAGTAAATAATTAATGAGCTGACCCCACAAAACATTGATGCAAAGAACAGACAATGCACACAAAAGTGAAGCAGTTACCATACAGCACTTAAAACTGGTACAATTTGGATTTTCAGCTGTTACTAAGGTCGGTTTGGGTTTTCTGCCACAAAAAGTAGGAATAGACCCCATAATCAGTTACACAAACTTCTACTGGACCATAACAGTTTATGACCTCATTGTTCCTACAGCTTTTAGATACACTTGGACTGTGCTGTTAAAAATAACTAACTCTACTACAAAGGAGTATTATTTACCACACAACACATGCAAAATACATTTTTAACAAACGCAAATCTGACCTTCAGAAGCCTAAGCTTATCTTCAGCTGTATAAATGATTTCCAATCTAATAATTAAGTGCGTATTAGCCAGCGTTTCAGCTTTGAAAAAAAAGTCTCTTGAGTTCTTCTTTGGTTTCTTGACCTATAAAACAAGAAAACCATATTTACCCACATCAATAAAACAGCAGCAAACATTTACCCTGCAGACTTAGTAAAACATAAAGAGCACAAACAAGAAATTATACCTAGCACTAACTTCTCTAACAGTTGCTCACAACCAAGCAGGTATTACCCTAGGCCAAGTTAGCAGCCCTAACAAGTTATCACCATTTGCTCCTAGAGACTTCTGCTGTTCCAGTTCTCAGGTGCAACTGATTTAAGAGATATTAACCTGTTGATTGCTAAAGAAATCATAGGAAAGAAGACAAAGGAAATATTACCGCAGTCAGTGAGAAGATTAAACTATGATTAGAATGCACTTGTTGCACTGCCTGTGCAATGTTGAAATAGCAACCAATATTTTTGTGGTGAGAAAGTTAACAAATCCTCCAATTTTAACCACAGTCTTCCCATGCTTAGTATTTTCCTTAACAATTGAGCTATTAGACACATAAGATAACATGGAAATCATAGCTCTCACTTTAAACAAAAATAAAAACATATGGGAATATGAGGTGAATTGCAATTCTGAACAAAATGATCCAGAGCTCGGTCAATAGGTTTCAGTTTCATATTTTAAAAAAGTGTTATAATTTAGGGTAGCAGCTTCAAGTTTCTTAACTTGGGACATATCAGATCACCACCACACGTCAAGATTTAAGGGAGAAGTGCACGCTAGATGGGAAGAGATCACATTCCATATCCCTTCCACACGGGATCTTTTCTTAGGCAGGTGCTCCCTCTACCGTTCTACTAAATGAAATGTTCTAATGTTTTTCCTTAATTGCATTGATTTCATCACTACAGATTCAAGAATTCGCAATTTCACTTATGTAAAACACCAGCAAATAAAAATTTGAGTTGCACCGGGAGCAGGGAGGGAGGGGAGAGGAATGCATTACTTAAGTGTATGATTTATCACAGCCTTACTTACAACTTTTGGTGCAGTTAAATTAGAACTTTGATGTCACAAGCTGTGTTGCTAATAACAGACTACTGAAAACTCAAGGACTACAAATATCGAGTTTACCTGCGTTCGCATTTGTCAGCGGGCAGCTTTTCATTCTGTTTCTCAGCGCTGAGAAGAAAAAAAAACACAAGTACCCGCTCCAACTCCCCCACATTACTTTCAAGTGAGTTACTACAGTGTTAATCTCTAAATTCTTCTGGAGAACATCTCTTTTAATCCAAGTGAAAGTAGTTTCCTCAAATAAATCAATTACACTGCAGAACGGTTTAACTTCCCCTTCCCTTAAGCATGTTGCAAAAGTTTATTTATAGCTACTTGACACCAAAGTCTACTAAAAAACTCAAAAGTGTTTAGACGAAAAGCAGACTTCAGTACACACGTAGGTAGCAAACATTTGCAGCGTGCTGCTACCTTTGCTAAACAGGCCATTGCTTGTAGGGAGCATAGTTGGTTTTTTTTTTTTTTTAAAACACCGGCCACACCTGCAGCAGCCTGGCAGCGGGCACTGCGGTTCGAGCTGTCCGCGCCAAGAGGCCAACAATCCTTGTAACAAGAGTCACCAGACAAAGTCCACGCTCTGGCCCCTGAGTGAACCAGCAGCTCGACCCAACGCCAGGAACAATTTCTCAGAGACACCGCTGACTGAGGCATTAACGCTTACGTTCCCTCATCTTTCTCTCTCCTAATCCCCCCTTTTACCAGTGAACC